GCAAATTTTCACTATCACTGGGATTTGAACTCTAGACCTGCCACTTGGGGGTTGACAACCTATCCACTTCACTAGGTTGCCACACCCCTATTAAAAAGATTATCTAAATATCAAAGAACTAGGCTTTAAATATAAAACTGTTAATTATTCAGAAAATTTTGTAAATTTTAAAACAGATGCATACATGAATATTATAGAAGAATTATAAAATAATATTAAGTTACAAATTGCCTTATAAAATTAAAATAAAAACAAGAAGACCAATCAAATCTTTTCAATGATTATTTGAATCAAACTTTTCAAAAAGCTAAACTACAGAAAAATAATATAGTTAATCTATTAAATTTTATTAAAACCTTTCTAAAGTACTGTACATGCATTATTAAACATTGAAATAAAGTTAAAAAAAAGTTGCAGCCTTATAGTGCTAGTTTAAATAGCACTCTGAAACTATAGAAGAAGTGGTCTAATGAAAGCCAAGGTTTTTCATTAAGTAAATAACAAAATTGAATATATTAGTTCTATACAATTATAAAACTTACAAGAAACACTTACAAGAGTTAAGAACTCACAAAAGTTAAAAAGTTGGTTTACCTAGCACTTTTACTTTTTTCCAAAGAAAATTTTATAAAAATATATGATTTAGTTTACTTCTTCTTAAAGATAAATACATAAAATCATCAAAACAGTTAGCAGTATTTATTTTCTAAACAGAATTGTTAACAAAATAGATCAGAAATAATACAGTAATACAAATATAACTATATACATACCTCAAGTTGCTAAAAATCTGTTAAATACTATCTCTGAACTAATCAGTATTTTACACTGACCCTTTATGATAAAGTCAAAGTTTTTTTCTTTTTTTTTTGTTTTTTGTTTAAATAATCTAAGTAAATAGAAAAATAGTAGAAAAATTTCTATTTAATATAGTTTATAATTTTTACAAGCCTGACATAGGTGTATAATTGTGATTGTCTAATATCTGTGAATTATAAGTTTTATATCTAACATAGACTTAAAATAGTAAGCATCTAATTTTTTATAAATTGCAAGTTTTATAATTTTCTTTTTCTTGTTTATCTTCCTTTTCTCTTTTATTTCTTGTTTTGTATCTTTTATTATTTATTTCTATATCTCTGTTTTTTTTTATATATAAAATCTTTTTTTTATTTTTTTACTTCTCTATGAAAAGACATTATCAGATTGGTAATATCTTATTGTAGAGTAGCAGTTAGATGAACAGTCTACCCCTGTTTGGAGTAATGCAGCAGGTTACACTTAGGTATCAATAAGGTGACTGGGTGATGTTGAACTTAAGTATTAGAAAAATTCTTTGTAATCTGTATAGTATCAAAAATTCCAATAAAGTACTAGCATGATTGCTTAAGTTAAAAAAAAAAAGAAATCAAAATAAAGATTTGATTGAATTACACTTATTTGAATTTATTTGACATAAAATAAACAAAATCAGACTTTGAGATGCATTTATTGATGCATTATGTTCTACAGCATATTATCAATTTGATGATATTACATTGTAATTATTGCTTGTATTAGTATATGTTAAGCTATAGTTCAACTCAAGATTTTATTTAAATACTGTCATGTAAAGTTTTTAAACAAATTTAATAAAAACAATTTGCTTGATTTCTACTGACTCACCCCCATATATATGTGTTGTGTCTTAGATGCATCCTTGCATCAGATGACGCCCGCCTGAGTTAGGATTAGGGTTAGGGCGAAACTTACAAGGTAATTTAGGCCAATTATTGCAGATCATTTAACGTTGGTCATCTGGCAGTCATCCGACGAGCGTTAGCTGTAAGGATATATCTGACGCACAACATATATAAAGATACAAGTAGTTATATATATAACAAGTTTATGATTTTTCAATAAAGTGCTCAAGTTATTTATATATGAAGATACTATAACGGTTATAATTTATTTGAACTGTGTATAAAAATATGATAACTCTTTATTATTGAGTTGTTAAGTTCTTCTACAAAATCAATATATAAAGCTATTTATACATTTTATGATATTATGCTTTCTTCTACTATATACTGTATACTAGTTATAATTAGTTATATCTAATCAGGATTAATATTTCTTCTAAAAGCTAATATTGTTACTTGAACTATTATTTCTATTAGAACTGATTAGAACAATTGTAATAGTAGCATTCTTGAAATTAATATTATATTACTGCTATGTATTACTTATTCGATTATCTCTAGATCATTATCCTGGTCTAAACCCGGCATCAAATTACTTGGGCTCTTCTTAAAATTGGTTAGATATGTAAGTGTAACGAGATTTAAGTGGAAATTCTATTTTCACTTGAGTTAAAGTCACCTTAATACTATTGATTTTAGTTGACTTTAACGGGTGAAATTAAAATTTCTCTAAAATTATTAAGTTTAAAATTATTTTATATAAATCTACACCTTTAGGGATGCTAATAGTCCGTGGTCTGATCTAGTTTGGTCTATTTTGATCTAAAGACTAACTATCATCCATTAGTTTATACACTATACACCCTAACGTTAAAATTTACATCAAATAGACGTACAAGGTTTAGATAACCTCAAAACAAGGAAAGTGAAAATTAGTTCGGTAATATCAGTCTTCGTAGTAGGCAAAAAAAAAAGTCTTAAAAAGAAAGGTTTAAAACATTAATAATAGTGGCGGCTGATGTCTGAAACTAGAACTATTATTGCCTTTGATTAGCTAATTTCAGCTTTTAGTTTTTTCTATAATTTATTCCTTATATAAGATCATCCTTACAAAAAATACGCAATCATTTTATACATGGTCAAGTTACTTAATATTTGTTTTAAATAATAAAATCTGTTTTAAAACAATATAAACCCTAATTTTAAAACATTATGTTTTAAAACACTTGCCATCCTTAATCCTGAAATTGCATTGTGTTACTCTTTCTTCGTGTTTCAGTTTTACACGTTCAACACGTTCGACATTCAAAAAAAAAACAGTTAACCTATTTTTCACCGATTTAAACCAGGTGATGATTAAGTTTTTTTTTTAATCAATATTTTGTCCCTTAGATCACTATCGTATTGTGGCTTAAAAATAAGCAATATATTAATATAGAAAATGATTAAATATATGTAGTTATCGATAATTATCAGGTAAAATTTACTTGTAAGACGAATTAAGGGATAATACAATATTTGGAAATTTTCTTTAATATTCAAATAAAAGAACAAATAAAGTTAGTTTACATTCGAGTTTCAAATGCAACAGATTCGGGAGATGCTTGGTTTGTAAGCTAATCCGACTAACTCGTCGAGGAAATGGCTATCGGATCAGACCTCAGCCCTACAAAAGCTGCAGCTTTATTACTAATTAAAGAACTTGAGTATGTCATTTGGCATTTCTTAATAAGAAAAAAGGTAAAATAAATTTTTAAATGTTAAGATTTAATAGGTTTAAAAAACCAGATTTTCGTTATGCATCTTATTGAGTAGTAAAAAGATGATTGGTAAGTCATGTTTGAAGAACTTAATACGTATGCATAAATTTAAAATTTTAAGGTGCTATAAAAAACAATACAATTAAAATTTAAAACATATTACATAAACTTAGGTCCAAAAAAGTCAGGGTTTGCTTATTATCTTGCCTAATTGATCTCGGATCATAACGGATCGAACCTAACTATATGCTATCAAACGTAGTTTCAACCTTCATTAATTTACGCCAATGATACTAAAATATAATTTAGGAACATTTTACGTCATTCAACCATATTTTATGGGGAGAATCCATCACCTGATTCTTCAAGAATTTTCTACAAGAATTTTCTGCGAGAATTTCCTGACACAAATCAAAAAAGACATGACTGGGTTTCAATTACTAATATCTCTTTAAAAACAAAAAAGCTATAATCCAAAATTAATTCAATCAAGTTATTTAAAGTTTTTTCGAATTGTGCATATTCTTCAGCGTTATGATCGAGTGGTTATATCCTTTTATTACTTCGACCATACTTAACACAAACTTAATGTTTTCCAAATAAAGATGAGTTAATAGGATGTTATATGTATGATTTGTTGGACAATAAGTGTAAAATTATTTTTATGAGAAGCGGGTAAAGTAGTACATTCAGAATTTTCAAATACGTATAATGATAAGCTTCTTTTGGATAAATTTATTGTTGAGTTACACAATCGTCCAAGCCACTCATCTATAAATACCTTATATGATATCGATATTGGATAAATTTATTGTTGAGTTACACAATCATCCAAGCCACTCATCTATAAATACCTTATATCGAATATTTGATATCGATATTGGTATTTAAATACAATGACCGACCAAACGGACAACAATAACACATTGGAAACAAAGGCACAAGATGATGATAGATATAACTGTAGTTTAGCGACAGAACTCGATTATTTTGTTATGTGTTATTGTGAGTATTCCGAATTTGGCATATATCATTTTAAGTAAATGCTTCACAACATATCTCAACAGAGAATAGCATTAGGAGGTCAGGCAGTTAATTATTACCGATATGGTGAACGAAAAGATTGTTCGCAACGATGGCAAAGTCTTAAATTCTGTATACAATTAAAATCAAAATCTTTAGAAGAACGAAAGGTATTTTATAATTACCGAACAATCGAGTACAATTGATTGGATAAATAAATATACAAGTCACTATTTCTTTTGTAATTCAAACAAAATCATAAATTAAATTTATTTTAAAAAATATATATTATGAATTGAAGAAAATGATCTTAGAAAGAGAAGCAATGAAAGAGGCCAATTATAAAAAGCAAAAAAGTTCACTGGATGTTTGGGAACTGAGAGAGTAGGTTTTTCTTTGAATTTTGTTTATGCATTACATTCGTGTTATGACGTCATTCATTGCGTTTAGTCTCAACTCTCATTTCATAAATACCTTATAACGAGAATAATAATGATAAAATTTTTTGTTTTGTCGAAAAGAAAACCGCCATCAACAATTTTTCCGTTACATGACCAGATACCAATCGATCAGTTATGAAAAGTTTTTTTTTAATGTCTGATGTTAATTAGCATTAAAAATTTGGTTTAACTCAGTATTAGTATTTTTAATAAACTATTTTTTTATAATATATTATACAAACGGCCAACTTGTGAAACAAATGTTCCATCCAAATATAATATACATGTAATTATATCAAACTACACCCATTGTTAATATCCATAAATCAATATGCTATACATGAGAATGTTCGAATTGAATGATCATATGCAAGATGTGTTTATTTTTCATCATTATTAAAAGATTCATCAAAGTGTTCCTCCTGCTTGAATGTCAACTATATTAAAGATATATCAGTATTAAATAAAATGTAAACAGTTTCTATAGATGTTATTAAATAAACACCTGATCTGTAACAATTAATTTGACTACTTCTACTTCCTGCTCATCTTCTTTCTACGTAATTTGAAAAATTTTAATTACTATTTGAAATGATGTTAATGAATATTTTTGAGAAAATTTCTTACTTGAGATGAATGCATATTTGTTTCTTCCTGTTTTTTTTTTAGTCATTAAAAAATTATATGATAATTAATTTGACTGTTTATATACAATAAGTCTAGAGAATAGAGTAATCGAGATTTTTGCAGTGATAACAATAGCAATTATAATGATTATTAAAATCAATACAGAAAATCTTTATTGCTTTATTCTCTACCTATATGCACATGAAAAATTCTATTACCTGTGATGAAACAGAATCTGTTTCCTCCTGTTTATATATATGCATAAATTTATTTGATTAGAATTTTTTTGCTCACTGAATAAAAATCTAAATCTGTTGTATATCTAACTAAAAGTGTATTTTACCTGAGAATCCGATTGTGGGGATGATACAGAAGGTTCAGATGGTGGTTGTGACGCAGTCTTATTAACCTTTCTTTGTAACTTATCCAAGGAGTAAAATGCTAATAAATTTCCATTTTTATCAGCTTTTTCATATAAACTCATTGATTGATCATAATCTTTTACTAAACCGAATCCCTTTTCATAACACCAACCCAAATACAACATTGCAGTACAATTTCCTTTCTTTGTAGCATTTTTATAATGTAAAGCAGTTTTTGATTTATCTTTCTTTGTTCCAAATCCAGTTTTATAACATCCAGCAAGACCATTTTCAGCATTCACACTTCCACTTTCGACAGCTTTTTTATACCACATAAAACTTAAATCCTCATTTCTCGGAGTTCCAAATCCATAATTATAACAATCAGCAAGTAAATCTTGAGCTATTGAATAATCCATCTTTGCAGCAGTAAGAAATAAACTAAAACATTTTTTTAAATCTTCTTCAGTTCCAATCGCATCAAAATAAAAATATCCAAGTAATGTTATGTATTGTGGAGTATTTTGATTATTTAATAACCAATCGTAAATTTGATAAGGTTGACGTTTATTATCAATTATAAAATCGTTAATAAACCGAGATATAGTTTCATCTTGATTTCCTCGTTCTTTCATATCAACAAAATTTTCTATTAATTCATCAACTATTCTTCGAATTGCATCACTTTCATCTCGACTAATTTGTGGCATTGGACTTTGACTTCTTGGATAATTTGATCTTGGAGCAGGACTTGGACATCTGGACCTTGGAGAAGGACTTGGACATCTGGATCTTGGAGATGGACTTGGACATCTCGATAAACTTCTAGACGATCTTGGAACTTCAAGTGTTGCTGACGTTGCCATTACTTATGTTAATATTTTTATAAAATGGGTTGAAAAGAATGTGTTGTCGTTAGAAAAAAAGTTTTTTTTTTATTATATGCACGGTTAATATTTATGTATATAGATAAATGTAAGTTATCCTATTTTAATCTTTTCATAAAATGCGTTATTTTTTGTTTGATTTTACAAATGTTTTTTTTTTTAACTCTGATGATAAAAAAAATAAGAAAAAGAAAAAGAATGTGGTCTAAATTGATGTGTTTTTCATCGGGTTTCGCTATACTTTTATGTAGTACACGCACATACATGTCATTGAATATTATACTATTATTTATGAAGATAATTATAGGTCATATTGCGTTATTACAAAAGTATCAGTATGTACACTTTATAAATAGATCCTGTACCTGTACTTGCCACGCGGTAACATTATTGGCGCGGTGTACCATTATTGTTGCTTGTGTAACAAATTCGTGCAAGGGTGTGATGCAATGGCCTAAGCAAAAGTCACATGTAGGAAAACGTTTACATACGCACGCTATACCCTACATATGTTCTGTATTGTATGTACTGTATGTACGTACGCACATATTTACATAAAATTGTCATTTTTTTTTCATTTTTTCATTTGCGTTATAAATTTTTACCATTTTCCATTAATATGTAAAATTTTAAATTTTAAACTCAGCGTTAACCTAGTGTCACTTCCGGTGTTAACCTTAAATAATGATATAATAATCACAGATTATGTCGAATCACCACAAAGCCCCTTTTAGTAATCTTTATGATCGTATATAATACTTCATATATGGTTTATGTATTATAATAAATCGATATTTACAAATCGGTATTTACAAATCGATATTTTACAAAAGTTGATGACTTAGTACGTATTACGATTTGTTTTATCTTAAATTTATTATTACAAGACACTAAAAATTCCGATACTCTTTTACTTTAATATCCGTCATTCATGTCACCTAACACACACGGGGTTCAGGGTCGAATATTAATATTCCCTTTTTCATATTTAGAATTTAAAAAATGAAGAATCATGATTCCTACGATTGACAACCCATATTTTTTCCAAGTAAAATTTTTTAAGACTTTAAACAAGGATAACTTGACAATAACTTAATCAAATTTGATAAAAATTTTTTTAAAACAATTCTAAAAACTTGTAAAATTATTTCAAAAAATTTTTACTAAATTTAATTAAATATTTGCTAAGTTATTTTTGTTTAAAGATTATTAAAAAAGATATGGTGCGTTTCTACTGACTCATCCCCAAATGTTTTATTCAAAATGAAAATTTTAATTTATCGATACAAAAAAATAAAACTCGTTATTAAACCCAACTCCTCCGAACTTTTAAACCAATACCAATTTATCAAATTCATTTAATACACTTGATCCATTTCTCATTAAGAATTTTTTTTTTCTTCACAAAAATTTCACACTAAAATGTTTATGTCAACATATAAATAGCTTATATGAATATATATATATATATTTATAACAATAGAACTACTAATACCTAATCTCTGATAAGAAATGACAAAAATGACAGAAGTAAAAAGTTATATTTGTAAATAGGTTTAATAAAAATTCATGAAGACGGATTTATCTATCACAAAGAATTGAAAAAATGTCATTAGTTAATGCAGCAATGCAGTAATGTTGATGTATGATACAGTATTATCACAGCATCTCAGTACTCTGATTGATATTGATATAAAAATTCTTACCGAAGAAATCTTTTGTAATTAATTATTTACTCAGAATTTGTAGTTTTTGCTAATAATTCTTCTAATGGTGTTTCCGCGTCACTGTTTCCACATTCTTTAGCCTTTCTATACCAATAAATTGCTTGTTCTAAATCTTTTGTTGTTCCTGTTCCTTGTTCATAACATTGTGCCAACATAAACATTGATGACCTATTTTCTTTTTTTGATGATTTTTTGTATAATTGAAATGCTTTGGTAATGCTCTTTACTGTACCAATTCCTGCTTCATAACAATATCCAAGTCCAAACTGTCCATCGACACTACCATTTTGTGATGCTTTTTGATACCACATAAAACTTAAATCTTCATTTTTGGTGGTTCCAAGTCCAAATGCATAACAATCTGCAACTAAATCTTGCGCTACGAAAAAATCCATTTTCGCTGCTGAGAGAAATAATGAAAATCCTTTTCGTTGATCTGTAGGAACTCCTATTCCTTGAAAATAAAAAAATCCAAGTAAAGTTACATATTGTGCTGTATTTCGATTACTTAATAACCATGAAAATATTTGTGTTGGTTCATGTTTTTTCAATCCTATTTCTTCTTCGATGCAATCAGTTACTGCTGAAAAATTGTATCCTTTTTCTCTTATTCTTACAAACATAGTGACTATGGCGTCTACATATGGTCTTAAAGCATCATTTTCATCTCGATTACCACCAGCTGAAGATGGACTTGTACTTCTTACACTTTTGCTACTTCTTACACTTTTTACGGAACTTGCCGCAGATCTTGGTCTTGGAAGGTGAAGCGTTGAAGCCATTTACTATTAAATTATTGTTATTGATTTTGCTATGTTTCTTTTTTTAAATGGAAGAATGAATAGTTATCGAAAAAAAATTTTTTGTATTGTAAATTTTGTGAGTGATTAGGAAAATTTTGGAAAAAAAAACAAAGGGTTTAAATGGTAAAAATAATTCGATGTAGTTTGCTGATATACAGTATATTTATATTATATATTAATAAAGAATTTTTCAACAAAAAAAAAAAAAATTCTCAATTCCAAGTTTGCAACACAATTTTCGGTTCTTTCTTTATTTGGTTGTAAATATATATATTTTTTTTATTAATGTATTGGATTAAAATATTTATACTCATAAAATATTTCTTTTTGTGTAATCTCTTCTAGAAGTCTCTATTTGGCTTACGGATGTATATTTCCGTAACGTCAAAGCATCAATCAATGTCACGTTTTATACAGTACTACGTATACAATAAATATGTATAATATATCAGATATACACTTCATATTTAATATAAATATATAGTATAAATAACGATAAAGTAATCATATCACAGTAAATTGTTCAAACATGCATGATCATCGGATAATCCTTGCGTAACTATAAAATAGCATTAAGCTCCGGATGGCTTATTATAACTAAAGTTTCTTCGAACTCGGCAACTTTTGTTAATTACTTTCCTTTGCAAATAATGTCTAAACGCCAGTATTCAGATCGGTCCTCTTCACCTGCGAACGTATCAAGAAAACTGGCTTGCATACATATCGAAAGATATTCTAAGCAAGGTTCGCCGGTAGCAAAGATTGAATCTTCTGCTTTCAAGGTTATTTATATATTTTTTTAAAAAAATTCTTCATAAAAATATGATTTATTATTATTAAAATTTTATATCATGTTTTTAGAGACAGGTCTCTAATTCTACACTTTGTTGTGACTGGTGTGAGACTGGGATCCCAAGAGTTTGGGTTTGTCTGTATGTAAGTTGTGAAATTCAAAATATTTTTTTTCCATTAAATGTTTCACCAACTATTTTTTTATTTAATCAATCGAATGAATTATCCTTTTAAATAGAGTCGATGTCGCACCGTTGTTTGTAGTAGTAGTAGTTCCAGGTCTCATATGCGTGAACATCATGATTCCACATACAAGGTAATTTAAAAAATGAAACTTTATGAAATTAAATTTGATTATCTTGCTTTAAATCTAATAAAATCTTAATCTAAATATACAGAAAAATAAACCTGAATCTACTCATGCTGTATATGTTAATCCACGTACCTTAGATATATGGTGTTATAGCTGTGCGATTGCATTAAATCCATTTAATGAAGATCAAGAATTCTCTCAAGAAACGCGAAATTACTTGAAAACTGTTGTGAGATGCCTGGTATTTTTTTATTTCATAAATTTTTATTATCTTTATTGTTTTTATTCATGCAATCTTTTTTTTAAAAAATAAAGTTGAAATACTTTGTCAGTAGCAGGTCAAACGAAATAAATCACAACATTCAATAGATCAATTGACAACTGATGTTCCTGGTATGTACATGATTATTATAATTTATTATACTTTATTATACGTTATATCTAGAAAAAAAAATATTTATCATAATTTTTAAGGTCTGGTTGGATTAAAAAATCTGGGAAATACTTGTTATGCAAGGTCTGTTATCAAAATTTATTATCAATTCTTTTTGACTTATGCTAAAATTATAACCTTCACTTGTCTTTCCATGTAGTGCTGCTCTCCAATGTTTATCCAATACGTGAGATTTTTTTCCTGTTTTAATAATAAATTACTTTATTTAGTTTACTTATTAGTTCTTGTTTTGTTTTTTAGCCCAGCATTGATAAATTATTTCAACTATTGCAATGCATATATTCCACGAAGTCTTAATATTCATACAAAGAATTCCAAGTATCGATTGGCTGAACCTTTTAGTCAATTTATAGAAGCTATGTGGAGTGGTACTAGGTTGATTATCTTAATATGGGTTATTGAAATTAATAAATTATGAAAACTATGATTAGTGAAAGATTAGTAAAATATATCTTAATTTATTTGTATAGTCCGATTTTTGCTCCAATTCGGTTGATTAATGAGATCAAAAGGCATAATAAGATTTTCCAAGGTCATTCACAAGAGGTATGTATACATGTTTATTGTAATTTCCTCAACTTTCTCAACTTTTCAACTTTTCAACTTCCTCAATTAAGCTCCTTTCTTAAGTTCTTTAATTTTCCCAACTCCCTTAAGTTCCTTAATTAAGTTGTCTGACTCTTTTAAGGTTGTTAATCTCCTTAATTCTTATAATTCTTAACATTTAAATATTGTTGAATATAGGATTCTGCGGAATTTCTTCATGTTATTTTAGATAAACTTCATGAAGAATTGCCGTATCCACAAAACATGCTAAATTATTCACAAACAAATGGCAACACCAATAATCGCGTACATGTAAAATTTTCTCCATTGACGGTTGCTGGTGTTAATGCTATGATGGATGATCATTATGCGTGTGGAATTTCACCTTCAACATCTTCGACTTCTTCGACTATTACATTAAAACATTATGAAAGATTTCAAAGACGTAACTCTTCACCGACTAGCATAATTAGTGATATATTTCAAGGTGTCTTAGAAAGCAAAATTAAATGCCTTCATTGCATGAAGGTAAATCTCTTATTTTAGTTTAACATTTATTTGTATTTATATGTATTGTAATTATTGTGCATACGCTTAGGATTCTATAAAAGAAGATTACTTTTATGTTCTTCCGATTCAAATTGTTAAAAAATATAAACTTAGATCACAAGAAAAAAATTTAAATGGTGCTTTAAATACATTTATAGGTTCTATGGGTGATTTTTTAGGGTGAGTTATTTTAATATTATCATATAATTTATTAAATTTGTTTCATATTTATTGATATTCATTTTGGTTTGGTATATCAGTATTAGTGGACGAACAGTAAAATTGCAAGATTGCCTTGCTGCATTCTGTGCCACAGAAAATCTTACTGGTGAAGATAGATACAGATGTGATGGATGCAAATCCTTGAATGATTGCCAAAAAATGCTAAGAATAACGCGGTTGCCAGAGGTTATTAAATATTAAATGTTGTTAAATAACTAATATTGTTAAATAACTGTTGTTAAATAACTGTGTTTTATTATAGTCACTATGTATACAAATTAAGCGATTTCGTTTCGAATCTTATTTTTCATCGAAAATTGCCACACATGTCCAATTTCCAATGGAAGGTTTGGATATGAGTCCTTATTGTAAGGGAACAAATGAATCATCTGATAATTCAAAATATAGTTTATATGGATTGATTAATCATCGTGGTGTGATTGGAGGTGGGATGATTAATTTATTTTCATGAGTAATGAATGATGAATGATAAATTTGACAAATTAGCTCAAATGAATTTATACTGATTCCTAAAGGTGGCCATTATGTTGCATATGTTAAGAATCCTATTGATGGAAATTGGTATGAATTTGATGATACGGTAAGAGATCATAAATATATTATGAATCAAAAGTTATTGTAATCATTAGAAAACTTTTGAATAATTAAAATTTAATTATATGTAATTATATGTATGTTATTCTAGTATGTTACAAGAAAGTCTGCGACTGAGATATCTCGATTGGAAGCGTATGTATTATTCTATAAAAAGACAAATCCCGAGAAAGAACAAGAAAGGCAAGATATCCTTTCACAAATAAGTGATGTATGTATCATTATATTTTCATAGAAATTGTTTTATCTTTTGTTAAACTGACTAGATATGTTTCACTCTATCATTAGTCTACATCTGAAACACATTTATTTATTTCTCGACTATGGTTTAATAGATGGCAATTTATGATGACGGTAATCATTACTGATTTCATTATTATGCAATTTAATATTTTATTTTTTGTTATATAATTCAAATTTATTTATTAATATTTTATTAATATTTTATTTATTAATTTTAAGCCCGGTCCGATAGCTAATTATGATTTCATTTGTTCACATGGAGGTAACAAAATTTCTGACAACTTCAATCTGTGTTAAGATATGGTTAATATATTTGCAATTGAATTCCAGGTGTTAAATGGAGACTTTATCATAAGCTTCATGATATGGTTGTAAGGATACCCTTCAATGTTTATACTTTATTAATGGAGAGATATGGTACAGATGGAAGTCCACCTTTCCATGCAGACGATTACGGGCGCGCTGGATGCAAAATATGCGAGGTAATGTTGAAAGTCTTTTTAAGAATAAACATGCAAGAATACGCAAATAATTAATAGTGTTTTTATAAAAGCAAGAAGAAAGAATTTTAGACCAAAGGCGTCGTAAAGAAGCTCGTGACATTAATCAAATAGATACTAGCGTAATAAGTCATGGTGAATGCTGGTATTTAATAAGTAATTCTTGGCTCCAAAGTTGGCGTAACTTCAAGGAAGGAGGTATTATAATTGTTAAAAAAAAATTTTGTTTTTTTGAATGAACATATAAAAGAGTATTACAGCATAACGCGGACCACGGTACCCCTATTAAGAATTTCATGGTGAAATGGGGGAATATATCCTATGTAAAAAAAAAAAACTTTTATATGTAACATCGCTTAGTATAGATCCCAGGCACTATACAAATTAATGTATTATACCGTGGTCCGCAATATACAATACTATTGAATATTATTAATTGTGTCTATTTGTATATGTATATATCAGGTCCATTACCTGGTGCAATTGATAATACAACTTTTCTTCAGGAAGATGGGAGACCAAAACCTGGTATGAAAAGAGGTTAGTGTTTGTAACCTTATATAAGTTTGGATCTACATCATTATTTATACTAATTATTTTGCAATATTTATATAGCAACCGATTATAGGGCAGTGAATGCTAATGTTTGGAATTATTTTGTACATGCTTATGGTGGTGGTCCCATATGTATTCGGGGTAATTTATTATTCTTTAAAATATACTATCTAAATAAGATAACCAATTTTGACATTTTAAATTTAACATAATAGGTACAATCGATCTTTACTCTTCTCCTTATTCGTTATATTATAACGGAAACTAAGTGATAAAAAATCTTTCAACATGTTATGATCTAAATAATATGTTTAGGCTCTGCCAATTAGATAGAATTTTTAAATAATATATGAAGCTTTCACTTTTTAGTAAATACAATAAAACTTTTTGAACATTTTTATTTATTTACATTAAGTGTAATAAACCTTTTGATTACTTTTTTTCTTGTTTCACTAGAAAAAAAAAGTTGTATGCGTATATTTTTAAAAAACTTTGTGCATATAAGTTACTTTAGGTTATATTTATTACAAGTGATTTATGATTATATAGTTTTTATTTAATGTTATGATATAATCACCTAAATAAATATTTATACATACTTTTAGAATATTTTGAATGTATTATAATAATACATATGACACAAACCTACAAAATCGGAGAGTGCCTCTTTAACTAATACATAATATTATCAATTAGTGATTTTATATTAAATGCTAAAATTATACAAAATATGATTCAGTTTCAATTATTTTACGTGTCCTATAACATTTGTTGAATATAAACTTAAATAAGCTTAAATAAATTATCTATAAATTGTTCGAATATTTTGTTTTTTTTAAAAAAAAAACAGGGCAATTAACAAAAGCTTCAAAAAATACAAAATCTTTCTCTTTTTTTCAGTTTCTATCCTCCCTTCTTCTGGACCATGGATCATTCTCATCAAATGAATCATCACGAGTAACTTTACGATCAGGGTCTAAGTTACGAAGAATTTCTTCATTTGGTGTATATGCCGGAGGCGGATCATTAGGACGATCGAGTGTGTCATATTCATCCTCATCCTCATCTTCTTCTTCATCATCATCTTCATTTCCTCCGACTTCCACCTGCTGCGGCAAATCAGGTAATACTCGTCGGGTTTGTGCTTGTGTTTGTGTTGGTGGTGGCTTTGTCCTTAAAGGAGGCGATGGTGGTGACTGTTCGTCGTCAACCGGGTCTGTCGCCCGAGTAACAGATCTTTGTGAACCTTGAGAAGAAACTGATGTTTGCGAACTTCGAGAACGAACGCTAGTTGGTCTCTGATTATTTGATCGTGGATTTGGTCGTGGATTCGGTCGCGGATTCGGTCGTGGGTTTGGTCGTGGATTCGGTCGCGGATTCGGCCGTTGATGATTCGGCGGTGAACGAATAGGCCGACCATTCATTAACGAATCTTCATACTCTTCATCGAACTCTTCGTCTTGATACTCTTCATCTTGAAACTCTTCGTCTTGATACTCTTCATCTTGGTACTCTTCATATTGGTATTCTTCATCTTGGTACGATTCATCTTGGTATGAATTTCGCGTTCGATTACGACCATTTGATTGTGTACTATGTTGCGAAATTGGTCGTTGACGAATATTTGCTGAATTCGTCCGATGATGAACATTTGCTGGACTTGATCGCTGAACATTTAATGACGAATGCCGTGGTTGAATATTAAGGGCCGCAGTCTGTTGTTGAACACTTACAGGAGTGGTCTGTTGCTGAATACCTGGAACTGGCGCGTGTTGCTGATGAACGCTAAATCGTGTATTTTGTAATGGTGCCTGATGGATATTCATGGATTGTGGCTGGACACCTGGACCTAATTGTGCGGTTTGATAAAGATTTAATGGTGTGACCTGTTGCTGTTGAATACCCATTTGTGTTGGAACACCATTAGATGCAATTGACGTTTGGAATGAATTATAGTTTTGTGGTGCCCTTCTAACTCCTACCCATTAATCGATTTTTAAGAAAACAGTGATTCCTTTGTTTAAAATACAAGTTATGTCTTCACTAACCTGTGGCCTTTTCTTTACAAGTATTCCCACAGTAAGGCGAAAGCTGTCCAGTATTTTGATTTCTCCAACGAGGTTTTACTTTACACTGGACACACATGGGAGTCATATATTGTCCTTGATTCACTGGAAACGGCCGGTTAACTGTGGTAACTGGTTGTCTAATTGGAAGTGGCGGCGGCACATTTATAGACGGAGGTACATTTATAGGAGGAGGCACACTTATAAGTTGGCCAGGTTGCATGGTAGATACGGGAGAAGATACAAGTACTGGTCGGAGTACTGGTTGAATCTGTGGTCCTACATTAGGATTCATATACCGTGCTGGCTGTGCCCCCGATCCATATGACGCTTTAGCTTGACAATTTTTTCCACAATAAGGTGACCTATTGCCAGTTGGTAGCTTAACTCTTGGATATATACGACATACAATACAAGCTTCAACATGACCTATAAACATGGTATAATGTTAGTTTCTTATTATGTTAAAATGCAAATAGAAGCAATCCAGAATTTTGTCAAGTTACCTCTGTCTACTGCAGCTTTTCGACATTGATGAGAACAAAATTCAGTAGGATATCCATTTTCAATATAAACTTCTTTTATTCTACATTCAGGACATAAACTTGCCATGGTTTAAAAATTGAGTAAGTAGTCACACGTTCATTTTTTGTTTTTTAAAGTTTTTTGTGCTTATTTTTACCATCGATCACCATATGGCCATATGGTGAAATGAAAATTGCGGACTCTATAATCCGATTAACTAATGTGTAACCAGCAGTGATGTTCACTATCGTCATGCGCTAGAGCCAGGTATTACGCATATACTGTACGTATGTTAGCATGGTTAGCATGTCGGTTTTCTAGACAATAGAGTTGTAATAATTAAATTGTTAGTAGATTGGTCGTCCGAACTAGTGGTGCGGTAGAATCATCCCAATGACGTTGAAGCTTACGTCGTAACTGGTTACGGAAATCATTGAGTCAATTCTATTACATCACTAGTCCGAACCTTCCATGGTCAATACTATATATATACAGTCAGACCTCTCTATAGTCATATCCTATATAATCACACCTCTATATAAGCACTTAATTTTGTAAAACTAACATATAAAAAAACTTCTATATAAGAACAATTGTTTTATAAGCATATTTTTTAAAATTTACTATTAACTATGTAATTAAAATTTATTTTATAACTTGTCAACAGCTATTCAAAATGTTTAATATTTTGTTTTTTTAAAACTTGATAATGATCATTAATTTTTATGTAATTCTAGTAAGTGAAGAAGATCTTTATATATATTTTTACAAAGTTATTTTATTACTTTTTTTTTTTTTTTTTTTTTTTTTTTTAAAAAAAAAAGTAACAAACTTGCCTGTCTGTATTTATTGAGTAATATATTATTATATAATTATATACAATGTTTATTAATGAAAGTACAACAAGTCATATTGTAATATTATAGATATTTTTAAATATTATTTTATATTATTTTATTGATATTATATTAGTTTTATATTATATT